ACGTGTTGTTTTGGGGGGCAGGTAACCTAGTTTTAACTCAAACTTTTCTCGCATTTTCCGAAAATTATTTACCAACATTTTTAATCTAACTAAAATTTGAGTCGAAATTCCATCTGTCCTATGATGCACTTTTATTAATTATCAAACAGAGATTACACCCCCAGTCCCCTGCAAATGTGCACGTTACCATGGAACTAAAACTATCTCTATCGAGTATCACAAAATTCTTTCGCATATCCGGACATCCATATCATACGCTTACGTGTGGCAAATGCATAGCTTAAACAATTTAGTCGCCAAGTCACAATATTGTTTATTGAATGATGATTTGCGGTTCCGTAAATATGCATCCTCACCTCCCCCACCCCCCACCCCACCCCCGATGAATTCCCATTTTGTGAAACTAGAATCATTAACAAAAGATTTTTTCATCCGATAAACCTTCCGGAAAACAACGGTAACAATAACTGAAACAAAAAGGGTAGACTGTAAAACAGCCGAACAGAAAGCAGCTCAGTATTTTATTCACACATACTCACTGTTTTCTGTGCCCTTCGATTCCAGAGAGAACTTTCGTCAGAATAAATCTCGAATGAAAAACTATGGAAATGGTTAAACGAATATGCATGATCTGAGCAGATAAATTTGTATAGGCGTCCGGGTAGCTCCGCGCAACCAGACGTCAAACGCAACTCCCTGGACGTATCTAAGTCACTGTTAGATCTGCATTTATTTTTCTTTTTTTTAATGATATGTCTACAGACTGTCTATCCGAAGGCAGACCCAGTGAAGTGAAGCGCCTGCATTGGTATAAACCCCCGGGCTTGTTCGTATTCAGTGCATCCTCAGTGAGTCTACTCAATTCTGCTGACTCTTCTCAGAATATATTCAGCGAAAAAAACCTTGGGAAGGACGATTTGTAAGTATCGAGACGGACAACAAGGGTACTATAACGTTGCAAGCAACAATCTAAAACTTGAATCAAATCTCGACCGTTGTTTGCAAACTGTTTACAAACTGTCCTATGGCACCCAGTGAGTGTACACCATCCGCATGTATATTCCAATCCTGATAGGTAAACAGTTCTACTGTCACCCGGGTCAGTACCACCGCCCAGCTATTGGAACGTTGTGACTCATCACTCCAAGTTCCAGGGATAGGTTGCTGGTTACCTCTCGTCTCGCTATGAATATTACAACTAACAGGAACACTTTCTAAGATGCACTCTCACTTGACAATCGCAATAAACTAACATTCGCGGCTTGAACCACACAATTGATTCTGTACACCAATTTCTACAATTCACTTCCCCTCTGGCGCCATTTTTTACCCGAAACAAAACTTTCTTCTACAGACATCGCTTATCTTCAGTTTCCTAATTTTCCTCTTAGCAACTAACTTATCCCATAAGCTGGAGCCTTTTGCTTCTATCCATCATTCACTTCCTTCTAGACCGTTCTTACACATAATTTGCGTCAATCTCGAGTTCCAGACTATGTGGCAGGAATTTCTTTTCTTTCAGTCACTACTTCTCCAAATAGTAGCAACTTTCCATTCTTTCATATTTTGTCGGCAAACATTGCAAACATCGTTAATGCAGACCTCGAAGCTACGTTTGCAACATTGGGTGATTTGAACGTTGATAACACGGAATGACTGTGAAACTCTTCAGAAACATCGCCCCTTGGATGAGAAGCAGAACCACCAAATGGTCGATTTCCCAACCCGCATCCCCGACCGTGCTGGAGACCACGCTCATACCCTCGATCTTATCCAAAAATTGTTCTCAAATGTTTCCGTAGTTCCTTTCCTGGGCTCATCGGACCATTGTCTTATTTTGCTCTTTACCCAAATTATCCACTGCTCTACTGCTCCTCCCGATTCTAGACACATTGTGGCGCTACAGTTCCGTTGATTTGTGCAGCTTTCGTAACTTTCTAGCTTCCTACCCCTAGAATGACCGTCAATTCTCCATCTCGGCCCCGAAATTTTCCAAAGTTCTGTTGCAGCGAATGCACCTATTTATTCCGCATTTCGTTAAATCTGGCAAGCCTCTCTCCAGAAGGTTTTAACTACGCCTGTTGTCGCGCTGTTCATGAAAACAAATCAGCTTTCCGCCGCTGACGTCGTTCACCTTCGCCCTCTCTCAACAATTGTACTTGCAAGTACGCAATAAATATACACCAGAAGGCAAAGGAGAGTTTTGTTGATCGCAAACCAGCACATTTGGCAATCGCTCCTTCTGGAAGCCGGAAATTCTGTTTGTTTTTGCTCAGGCAGCCTCCCGTAACTTCTGTTTCATTAACTTCCCACCCATTCTTGAACCATCTGGTGGCTGAGGGCCCAACCCGATTGAAAAAGCCAAAGTGTTTGCCTTCCATTTTTATTCCAGTTCTACCCTACTCGACTCATCCATTCAACCCTGAACGTACCTTACAACAAACTCCCTTTCATACGTCAGATCCTTCTATCCCTGGACCCACACCACCTGGAACGGACGGGATTTCTTCCATCGTCCTCTGAATGTGCACTTCAGAAGTAACTTCTCCCCGATGCCGCCTATTCTCTCTATCCCTAGATTTCGAGATATTCCCAACCTCATGGAATTTTTCAGAAATATTTCCCATTTCCCAACGCAGCGACCACTCAGACCCAAACTACTCCAGTCGAATCTCTCTCACATCAGTCAATTCGAATGTTATGGGATCAATCATTGCCGATCAACTTCGTCACCACCTGAAGCAGAACAATATGATCAGCGTTTGTCCGTGCGGTTTCTCTTCCCATCGATCTACTGGCGATCTTCGGGCTCTCGTGTGGCATGCAATTGTTTTCGCCGTGATTTTCTGATCAGGTTCATAACCGGCTAATTCATCTGTTACAACTAGTTTGATCCGTTCAGGTCCACATAATTTAACCGAGTTTTTCTTCAACTAAGAGAATCAAGCTTTCTTTAATTCCCTTTCATTGTTTTTCTAACTTACGCAGACGGCCTTGAACAAAAGCAAATTATATCAGGGATAAACTTATTGGGCATTATCATCGACCGGGGCAAAGTCATACGGACCCTGGTGATTCTTTAGTAAAGCAGTTTGCGTTGTCTTGTTTCATGTGATTTATCTCAAGCTTTGCATGTAGTGTGCAGCGAATACTAGTCCAGACGAAGGCTTATTTCCTAAACCAGATTACTTAATACCCTCCTCAGCTTGAGTGATCAGCTAATCAAGTTCAGTCCACCCTAGCCCCATCCCCATCGTTTGTTCACGCCAATAGTCAGTACAGCGTTGCTGATATAGTTCTTCACAGATCACATTTCGCCATTTTGCAATTCATTTGCTAAAGTAACAAATTACAAACACTTTAGCACTGATTTCAGTTAGATTTAATAGGACCAGGATGAAAATTGCAAAAGTTATCAGTTCTTTTTTGAACCCCGACAAAAATCGATATTCATAATAACGAGAACCGACAAAAACCGGACACGCATGTGATAGTCTTAACTAATTAGTTTATCAAATAATTCAAAGATATGAGGAGATTAGGAGTAGTGATAAATTTCGTCGCGTGCTTTTGCATAAAACCCCAGGTATCGAGGAAGTAAATCATTTGAAGTTAAATTTGTTTGCATTTCCTCTTGATTACTGATTTTTGTCGTTTTTTCACATTTGTTTGAATAGTCTCATAGACAACAATGTGTATAAGATAACGAGATTAGAAACCTTAATGTGGATTATTTTTAATCATATTAATACATAACTTTAATTTTGAATAAAAATATCAAAACAGGAATGACAAATTACAGTCCTAATGGATTCTATTTGACACCCAAAATATTGCATTTTCAAGTGGTTGTGCATGTGCTAGGGAGAACGAATTGAGTCAGTGTTGTGAAATACTATTCACTTGTGAGTAATTCGCAAAAAGATGCGATCGGCATTTTCTTTCAACGACCAAAATGAACAAGACCTGTTGGAGCGAACTGCGGCCGTTTGGTGTGGTGAATGGTTCATGAATACGTATCTAATAGTGGGCCGTTCCATCAACTATTCTGTGTGCGTGTGGGAGTTCTACAGCCCAGTTCTAAATGAGATATTTTGTTGTATGAATGACAATTTACTGATACCCTAATCGTTATTCACCATGAAGAACTATCCTCCACCGGACACCATTTGTGGAATGATAACGCGTGGAGTGAAGTTCCATTATATCCAGAGTGACCGACCACTATGTCACATCGCCAGGATTTAATGATATGCGCGATGTTGTGAGGGCACTGGTTATCGAAAGCAGATGTTGTTCTATTCCATGCTTGCCTGGATCTGGGCCGTGTGTCAAACAAATCCTGGTAAGATAGTCTTCATGACAAATAAATCAATTATCACCTAGTCTTACAGACCGAGTTTCTTAGTTGACCAGCAGTAGGGCACGCATCGTTGTGCTGCATAGAAATTCTGTCAGTGAAAGACATTTCACTGATATAGATTAACAAATATCTTATGACCGAACTCTATCCATGTGATCTGATCGGCTCCATTATGAGACACATCGTACTTAGAGAATTGGGAGCTCAAATTCGGGGCTGACCGATGGATAAAATATTACTGGTGGGCTCTGACAAGAGAGGAACTCAAATATGGTGCCTCCCAAACACATGGTTCGCTGGATAAAGTGAACCGCGTGAGAACAATCCGTCAAATCGATTATTATTTCACGTTACTAAGATCAAGTCGAGTGACTGAAAACTCACGTACTGAAAGTCATTATTTGCGAAAAATTATTTACATTAAAGATAGGTCAAATAAAAAATAACTGGTATTCGAATGCTGTGCTTTCTCATTGGAATATCTGCATACAATTTACAAACAGTGATCACAAAGAGTTCAAAATAAATTCCACAATTCACTGACGAAATATGTATACCATGTTTTCGTATCAAAATTCAACGTTAATATAAAAAGCTATCACCATGTCTGCGGTTGTTGTGGATGATGTTTGTGATTTCAAAATAGTGTGGTTTTTCGCATGATTCGTAGAAATTCCTGTTCACTGACTTTGCCGTTACCACTTTTGTCACCCTCGTCGATCATTTCCTGTAAGGGGAAAAGAGCATGAATTGGAAGTGACGCATGTCTTATGCGCTGGAATCTTACAGAAAGGGACCTCAGTAGAGTCATGCTTGGCTAATCAGTTGACGAACTTGAAGTTCATAGATTCGATTCAATTCCCTGAATTGCTACAAACAAAAAGTGTCCTTGAATAAAGAACACAACACTGCGAGCGAGAACAAATTAATTCTGGAATCTTTTTGCTGGTGCTTACCGTAGAAACAAAATAGTTTATACATCACGGGACATGACAATCTAACAACTAACGTGGTTACCAGGACAATGCCAGACTGACGTAGAGTTCCTTTTGCCGACAAACAAGGGAATTTCGGAGCTTGATTGCTATTCCCTCTGCAAATCTTAGCAGTCGTTCATTCGAGGTTGTGTAAACAACCACCCAAAGAAGTCCCGCTCTTGGCTTGGTGGCCAGTCTGCACCAGGTGGCTATCAGTCGATAACGGTTGCGGAAGATTGAATTGATACCATATTAGAACATCAACATCTATGATATATAAACTGTTTTGTATTCTACAGTAAGCACCAGTTGAGATTCGACGAAATGATTTCGGAATTAAACTATGCTCTCTTCTAGTGTTGTGTTCTTTGTTCCGAAAGTATCACTCGGGTACTCACTACTCGCTTCCGCATAAATAATTGGATATCCAGGACAGAATTTACACCAGACTGTTGAACCCCCGTGGATGATGCCCATGACGACCGTACCGTAGAAATGTGACGGACGGTGATTCTCCCACAACTATCATGTGTAGCACAATTGGGTAGAGCGAATAGTTCTTCCTGACCCAGCTCTAATGTCCAAGAGTTCGACTGAGGAAACAATAGCTGTCTAGGCTGTCTAAATTTGCCTATCTCTGCATAATGGCAGCACATTTCAGCAGGGAGCAAAGCTAGCTAGAAACATGGCTCTCGTTCTAGTATCTTGTTAGATTCCCCGGATTACTGAGGTTATTCAAAACCCTTGGGACAATGTTGCCATACGACACCTGACGCGTCCGCAGGTCTCGCATGTGCTTCAAGAAATAAACGATTGCGGAAAATCAGCTCGCTTACTTGAATAGTTTTCTCATTGTTATTAGTTTCATCACCATAAAAAGCCAAAACTTTCCAGAGTAGGGGGGGGCGAAAAGGTAATCACATATGGCCCGCGACTATATTAAAGCACACATATATCCCCTGATCACCTCATAGGTAGCAACTGATTGTGCAAAGACTGGATGTTATGATTCATGAGATGCCGTGTGTTATCATGTTTTCCAGATATTTTACGACGGAATGCATAAAGCCAGTTCATTCTCACACAATTAAATAAAGGCTAAATATTATTCGGTAAATTAAATTATCGTTTTTAACCGAAGGAAATGGTAAATAGTCGGATTTTTAGCAGCTGATCTTCAAGGTCCCGGGGATGCTCCCTTCGATTCTGGAATATCTGTTCTATTTGTAGGGAATCCTTCACGTCACCAACTGCTCCCTTGTTTGATCAGGACTTGCAAAATATTCTCTCCAATCCCCGACAGTTCATACTTTCACCATCTACATATGCCTTGACAGGCTTCAACCTGATTTTTGAAATAAGATAGTCGAAAAAATGTGGTCTTCAGATTGCTTGCTGTGTGGTGCGAACTAATTTTGAATCCGGATGAAATGGTCCCGCTTGGAGCCATGTTCACTTCAACCATGGATTCTGGTGGATACGTTTGACGTGTTTTGCAGCATCAGCAGCAGCACTGTGACCAAGTGATAGTTTCAAAACAATTATGCGTTTGGCTACGCACGTTTTCTGTACAAAGAAGCACCAAGATTTCTTTTGTTACGTGAACTGATGGGAAATCGCGAATAGAGCCAACTAGAGGGGGTGATCGATCAGCTGATTGGCTTTATTCAGCAACGGTTCAATCAAGTGGAAAAATTATTCAGTTAACATAAATCACTTCCCTATGACTTCGTATTATTCATTCACAGCAGTTCTTACACAGAATGTATCATTCAGGTCAAAACCAGTTCAGTAATCGGCTGCCGAATACCACATTGGTGAATCTTCTCGAGAATCTGTTTTCCCTAATCCCTAATGAACTCGTTTTGGCTATTTGACCAAACCGTACATTTGCTCTATCTCTCTAGTTCTTCTGTGAAGCATCTGGGGCTTCTAAAAAGCATATAAATGTGATAAAACTGTGGATACTTCCATAGCATCTTTTCTCTATACTCAATTCATCGTCATTTGAGGATTTTGAGTCACGAGCGATATTTGACGACTCTGAAGACAGAGCATATCTTGTTTTGCTTTCCGAGTAAAACATTTTCACTGAAGTGATTACAATGATCATGAAGCAGTTGAATTGGACTCAGTGGTCTGACTTGCCGTGATTATAGTGTCATCTGCATCGGCGACTAGGTCAAACAATATTTGTATTTTGTCGTGCCCGGCTCAGATCAAACTGAAGATATGTATGCAGGAGTCTGAGTGATCATTATCAATGTCCCCATGGCATAAACCATTGATCACTGTGCACGTGGAATTGATGTCAAAACAATGTCTGAAGCCAGCTTGCTTACTCTAGGCAGTAACCTTATAGAACTCGTGCCTGTTCACATATGGGTTTGAGCCATTACAGGGTGCATTGGTAGCCAAACAAGAGCCATCGAAAACCTTCGCGCAACCCGACAAGGACAATTTTTTGGATGACTGGAACTGGTGCGCTGAATAGACACAAATCACCGTGTCTGAGAAGGATAAAGCTGATGTTCACAGGCTTTCTTTATATGCTTGCCTCGCTGGTATTTCGCTATGTTATTTATCACCTTGAATGCAACTTCAATGTTTTACACACATACCTGCCGATGAAAAGCCTTAGAATCATCACGGATGCTGTTCCAAGATTGTGAAACCTCAACCCCAGATTATGCAAGATTGGAAGTCCCACATATGACCATTTGGCCATCCACACTGTTCTCATTAATTACTTTTGTGTGAGCACTATACGAGACATCATCATTCACGCCACTATCCCTCTGTCTTCATCTTCGAACATCCATCGACTCACATCTGCGCAAGTGCGTAAAATAATTAGTTCAGGAAATAATTCACTGTGATCACGAATAAGCGGGCCGAGAATTTGATTGGAAGATTTATGCTAAACGTCTGTGAGATGCACCACAATCTAGATTATTTGAAGAAAAACATAAAACTGCTCCTGGCCGTGGTGTGAAGATGAACCCTTTTTTCGGTAGATCGCCATGAACTGAATCGTACTGAATGAAGAATCCCAGCTTCTCAGACTCTTCAACATCATAGCAATGAAAGAACTACATAACCAAAACTAGCCAACCCTTTTTTATTAGAAATTCAGATTTTCTACTGGACAGAAAATCTGAAGCTTCCAGTGTTGTCGTTTTTGTCTGGTTCACTCAGCAACCATGAAGCAACCAATGAAGCAAATTGACTACCAATATGTTTACCGTCAACTCTCACCATTTACATCCCAACTAGTGTACATATACTACTCAAAGGAGGTTTCCCGCCAACGACAGCAACTATTGGCGGTGTAAACTGACTGACTTCAAGATAACTTGGTTCTGTACTGTTTGTACGAAATCCCTGGAGCTCGATGGATCAAAGACGTGATGAATGTATGTAATCGCACCGTTTACCGTATTTGGTCGATTAATTTAGAGCAAATGAAAATCCACACATGTGATCAATAAAGTGAAATGTCAAACTCTTTTTTGGCTCAGTCGGACTGGCAATCAACGGGAGACAAGTGCAAAGGTGGAGTGAACTTGAACCATCAATGAAACTCAGAATTGCCTGAGTATAGGTAATGAACACGGTAAATGAACTTTGTAATGGAATAGTCTTTTTTGGTCTCAGAACAGCACAGAATGCCTGATTCGCTATCCAAAACTAGGGGACATGATTTGCGCACATCTATACCACCATATTTGTAAAACGTTGAATTTGAAATAGTATCCACTTCGATAGCCATAACAAATCTAAAAATACCTGAATTTCCTCATCAGCTATGTCTTCGCCAAGCAACTTTGCCACATTTTTTAAATTAGAAAAACCAATATATCCTTTTTCCTCCTCATCGAACATCTGAAACGCTCGGACATGATCCTCCCGTGTGTCCTTGTCGGTCATCTTGTTAGTCACAATTTCCAGGAAGTTTTTGAAATCGAGTCCGTCTGCTTGGTCAATTAAATGAGAACCCACAGAATTACCTTTATTCTCTTTATCGTATTCAGTGAGCAGGTGTCGCAACTCGGAACCGGTCGGTTCAAACCCAAGTGCGCGTAAGGCTACTTTCAAATCGCGTCCACGAATAATACCGGATCCCTCCGAGTCAAGTAAATTGAACGCTTCGAGTATATCCTGTTTCTGAGCTTTATTCAACTCTAATTTGATTGACGAGCCCTTTCCGCCCCGTTTGTCGGACTTCTTGGCTGACATTACGACTGAGATTTTGTGCGTTCCTGGCGGAGTGCGTTCCGCAAACTCTACAAGTGAAATGTTCCATTTATTATAAATTACTCAAAATCATTGCATATCACATACCGCGCTAAAATAAGTTTTTATCCCGCTCTACTTCAGACAGTATTGGCGGTTGCAATAGAAGATCTATACAGGTTTATCTTACTCAAAGAAATTTACTGACTGATCAGCATGGCTCTGCACAAAGGTGGCCTATCAACATTTCCGACACTTGAAAGTAATCTTTGCTGGTCCTTACATACCCAAAGTGTTGCTCGTAAGTTGAAAAGTCTCTCTTTTCAGATAAGAAGACTGCACCACTTCTGTTCTGACTCGTCTGTGATAAACGTTTTCGTTCAACAATGTGTCCTTCCTATATCCCTGTACTGCTCTCCGGTAATTTTTCCTGATTTGTTGAAGGCTGGTTTCAGGCTACTGAGGCTCGGCCTCTCAATGACCAACTGTGTTTCCGAAGTTCCGTTATCTGTTCTGATTGGCAATGTGTGATGCCCATATTGATGCTTGCTTCAAGTTTGCTGACAATATCCTATCTGATTGCACCCATCCTCTACACACTGACTTGTGTGCATGTAAATCCCACCCCTGCACCCGTTCCAAGTACAAACTTATCCCGTCTCGCATATCCGCATACAGAAACTCTTTGGTACCCTATCTTGCCCGGATACTGACCGACAAGGAAAGTATTCGCTCTGAGCTTTCTAATGCATTTGGTAATTAACTCATACCTTTGTATGTATTCACATCCCACTATTTCCCCCTGTCTTTACCAGAATTGTAACGGTGGTCTATTTTATGGCTGAAAGCTTGTATATAACTCGCTAAAGTTTGAACACAATACAATACAATACAATATTACAAATTGAGCAAAGGTAGAATTTTTCCATCAATTACAATTGTAATTATAAAAGAAATGCATGCAATAAGCCAGCAAAACCAAAGTAGAAGGTATTTGACACTGATTTTGTTCAGAATAATGAAGCAAATATGCTAGAAGCAATAGAAGTAATCCAATAAAAATTCAGCTAATATAACATAAGATTAGTGTACTGTGATTTGTTTGGCATGCGGTCTGGACTCAGACATGTGTGAAATATAATAATAAAAATAATAATTGAATACAAATGAAAATATAACTTGTCCTTACAAACCCTTTGATCCTAATTTTCGTTTATGCACGATGAGTTGCACCCACATATTTATAATCGTTGATTCACACTTCAGTGAATGCAGATAAATTGATTGATTACAGACATCGTTTTAATCGGCACTTTACATCTCACTTCAAACTGAAAGATATGAACTGCTGTGAAAAATTATTTTTTCATAACTTTGTCTAAAAATGGAACAATGCTCCTTTTCCAATTTGAGTATACAATTTCACAACATTTTGTTTCCTAGCTTATCATCATCTCTTAAACGTTATCCTCTATCTCTTCCTAGTAATTTTTTCCTTATAAAACACTTCTTTGTGCTGTTGACAAATAAATTTTATTCCACAAAGTTGAGAATATACCATGACGGAAACTTACAGTGCTTGTTACAATCCAGTCTTTATGGGCTACTCAGTGCTGATAGACCATTGGGATTTTTGTCGCAAGCAGACAAGACAGGCACACGGATGACTGAGACGAAATTCGATCATCAGTTTCTATTAGTTTCAGCCGTGCGAAGAATCTGATCCCAATCGAGTTCACCTGAACACAGACACGTAGCTATATGTTGTTAACCTCACCCTGATTCCCTCCCGTCCGTCGCGAATGGCTTTCCGACCGAAGGTGAAAATGAGTCCCCACTGCCAAAAAAATATTAAATGATCTGTACAGACAGGATTATTTATCACTTGAAAACAAATGTTCGCCTTCCGACTGGTGTTCTGGAATTTAAAGACTGTAGTCTCAATAATTATTTGCACAAAATAATTTGTTTACAAATACCCATATCGAATAAGACGCACTCTATGAGTTGCATCTACACATTTTCATCCAGTCGCCTTCCACTTATAACCCTACAAGATGACTTCAGACATCACCCGATCTATTTAAACCTCATCCAGTCCGAATGAATTAATGTGTCCATAAACAAACAAAAGTACTTTCTGAGTGATTAATCGAGTAAGGATGAAAGTTTCGGTGGGATGGGCCTTGATCGTTCGTCTCCACGCCCCACCCGGGAATGTCGTCTTTGACAGTTGAACGAATGAGCTATAGACAAGACTGATGAGACCCGACGTTAATTGACCTAGGTCAATCGGCTAAACAAGCGAAGCACGTAAAGATAAAGCAATCACTATGATCCAGCGTGAATGAGAATACGATTCATTGCAAGAATGGGCCCTCAATATCCTAGTGAGTACAATCCATTGAGGCTGTAATTTCATCAGATTACACCGATTCCTATGAATAAAATGCGATTGTATACATATTTCTGACATTCAGAGGGATGCTGAATAAGATACTTAACAGTGATACTGGGATCGACTGAAGGAGTAAGCAGTTAGTCGATCTCTAACCTGTTCGTTCTTCACAGTCCTTCATCGAAATATGCATGATTTTACGGGTCTCTATTCTTTCAGCTTTCTGATGCTAATGCAATCCTAAATTTTACAGCTGTCTGAGATTGGAAGTGAGCACTATCCATTCATCGTTTACAAACTAAGGAACACATTTTCAGTCGCACTGAGATTCGGGTTGATAACCTGTGATTATAGACAGTCGAGTTTGAATTTTTCTATGTCCTCAGAGGTTCATTATTTTTGGTCACAATCGAGCAAACCTCCGGTGAAGCACACCATAGAAGGCTGTGTTGGAAAAGATTATTTTTCCAGTGACTACATAATGGTCAAGTGAATGTTGTCTGACCTTGAGGGCTTTAGTAAGAGCTCCTATATACCCTGGAATATATATATATAAAGAGCGAATGAAGGCACACACTGATTTGTAAAATGTTTATTATCCCGTTTCAATCGAAACTAGGACTCGTTCTCAAACTTAGATAGAACGTTGTAAATGGAATGAATGGGGTAATGGGATTACAGTCTTTCCGTGCCCCTGTGTCCTGTTTGTCCATCTATAGGTCCACTAATCGTCATGGGTTTTGCGAGTTCGACTATCTTGACGTGGTAATTGAATGAGCTTGTAGAGTGGCCGATTGTACAGTGAAAGCATGACAATAGCAGACATCGGCCGGACACCACTTTTTATCTACAATCTAAATGTATGTTCACATTTTTGCTTTAGTACCAACTCCATGTGACGTTTGTTTTATACGATCAAAAACTGCTGTCCTTCCGCGAAGGGAACTTGCACTTTTTCGCTTTCGCTTCGTTTTGCTCTTTATCATGCTCGTTGGTTCTCGTGCCTCCTTGCTTTAACGCAAACGCTCGTTAGCCGGTACCGGTACTTTCGCCGTTCCATGGTACCTCAATAAACGTCTATAACCACAAGTATTGTGGTTTAACCAGCTATAACTTGGTTGTTTTGCGAGCTCGGGGTTCCCGATCTGAAGCACGTCACGACCGGTCGTAGTCGACGTCGCTTCAAGCTGACCGAGTGCAGAGCTTCAAGAATTAATCACTCTCCCTTCTTCTTAGCTCGCTCTGCCACCTTCACGTCATTGATCGTGATCTCATGACCTGTCCTTGCGCAGGGGTTCTAGATTTGTGACCTCAGGTCAACGCGTAGGAAGGAAAGCTTGTGTTTGCGTAGGCGAGTGCGTAGTTGTTTGCCTGTATCACCTATGTAGTGTTGATTGCAGCCCAGGCATGGGGTTGCGCAGATTACACCTGATCGTTCGTACTTTTTAACTCGATCCTTGTCTTTGAAGACAAACAATTTTACAGTTTCTACTGGTTTATGAACTGTTTATGAACTGGATTTCGAACGGTCGGAGTATACGTTCGGTGGATTCTGACATTATGACCTGACCTTATGAGAATAAGGTTTACGTCCCCCTTGTGTGTGTATTTTTTATTTTCACCCCTGAAACATGAGTTGATAAAGCTCCTGGTATATGCGTTAGATAATACCAGTTGAAAGAGTCGACTTTTTTATGATGTTCTTAGCCACAATGCGTGTTTGCTCAGCGGAATAGAGTTCACACGCAACTTTTCAGGTGACACAAGGTATGCTTGTTGTTTTAATTGAGAATGTGCTTTGCAGTGGACGGTTTTCGGTAGACTTTGGTTTCTATGCTTCTATCTAGTTGTTTCATGAGAAGAATATCTAGGAAGAAAAGTTTTCTACCTTTCTTTTCCTCTCGTGTGAATTTGATACCAGGCACCTGCTTGGTAATCAATTGGTTGAAGTGATCTGCCTCGGAAGGCATGAGTATGACGAATATATTGTCCACATACCGTATCCACAGATAATTCTGCCGATTGCAGCAATTGGCTTCTTGATACTTTTGGCTACCGACCTAAACAACGTATTGCCTAAAGCGGACGGTAAGCTGATCGGTCCTTAGTTAAAGGGATTCACTTTTGCCCCAACACTGCACAGCAGGACTATGGTTAATATTTTCACTCTTTTCATCCTAATGGTATGGAACAGTTACCCCTGAGGTGGTCAACTGCAACACTGTTAGTACCTCCAAGTTGACACTAGATGCATGTTCGCCGGAAACGTTCCCAGAAATTAGTAGGTAGGCGGTATCGTCAATAAAATTCAGGCAGTTTGTAGGGCCAATGTGTGGAAACGAGTTTTTCAAACGATGCCCACTATGAATATCAAGGAGCAAGATGTGCATCTTACGATCAAAACGTCTCCAAAACTTAGGAACTCTCACATATGAGGCATGAAAACATCGTTTGTTTCTTTTCTTTCAGCTGCATTGAGAAAACTACAGGAAATAAACCCGTCATCTGAAGTGTTCGGAGTCAACAACACCCGTCGATAACGCACAAACCTGGGTAGTCGAATGAAAAGTACATACTTCCGTAAGGACTGAACTAGACAGGACTG